TCTACACCTTCATATTTATTTTCAAGCATGTCATTAACAACCTTAATTATAATTATTACTCCCCATTAATAGCATATCAATCACCTCATTTCTTTTGGTTGGCACTCCCTCTAACCCATTGGCAATTTCTAAAGTAATATATATATTGGTACATTATTTACCCCAAAAAAAAAAAAGCCAGTTACTTTCGTAATTGACATTTCTATACATTTTTCATAAATTATAATTAGGTACATAATGATTTAAAAAAATATAGATAGATTATTTACAAAATAAAATATAGGTATTATTTACAATATAAAAAGTTTTTTTTTTTTTGAAATTTTTTTTTTGATAAATTAAAAATAGGTACATTATGTAGAAGAAAAAAAAATAGGTTCATTATACTAGATAAATTTTTTTACTAGGTACATTATTAGAGAAAAAAAATAGGTACATTATTTAGAGGAAAAAAAAAGGTTCATTTTTTTAAAAAAATTCATAAAACAAACAATAAATAGATTATCAAATTATTTTTCATAAAACAAGTAATAGGTACGTGATTTAGAGAGAAAAAAAGATACAAAATTTAGAGAAAAAATAGGTTCATTATACCAAGTACATTATTTAGAGAAAAAATAGGTTCATTTAAAAAAATTTCATAAAACAAACAATAAATAGATTATCAAATTATTTTTCATAAAAACAAGTAATAGGTTCATTATTTAGAGAAAAAAAATAGATACAAAATTTAGAGAAAAAGAGGTTCATTATAGTACATTATTTGGAGAAATATTTCATAAATCAAACAATAAATAGATTATCAAATTATTTTTTAGCATAATTAGAATGTGCACTATTATTCATAAAACTATAATAAAATAGATTACTAGTCGTATAATTCATAAAAGGAAAACAACATAATTTTTTTATTAAATAAACCAAAACGTTAATCACCTATAGATTACTAATACATTAATGTTGAATTTAATATTTAATTTCAAATAAATTTCTAAATTAATTCATACATCCATTAAAACAATTTGGAGATCTTTCCAAATTTAAAGTGTGTCATTAGTTACACCGCCATATAATACGTTAACTTGTAAATAGGGGTAGTTTTGGAATCCGAAAAATATAATAAATCATATTTTAATCTAAATTAGGTAACTTGCTTACTTGGATCCTAGTAATCGGGTTTTATTTGAAAAAATTGAGTATTTTAAATAGAAAAATAAAGGAAAGAGTTGTAGGTGATTAAAAATAAATTTTATGGGTCTAAACTTAATTTACTATTATATTATAAATACAAAAGAGTCCTCAGTGGTAGTGGTTGGTTTCCACTGATTTCATTATTCAAGGTCTGTGCGCACAAAAACCTTGACTAATCAGTTTTGGTTCACATAAAGGAAGGTGCGGCAGTGTTGTGAAACGCGCAAAGACCTTGACTAATGAAATCAGTGGGAACTATTACCACTTGTGCGGTGTTTACTGGCATTATATATAATAGAAGGAAGGTGGTTTGGGATTGGGGATAGGAGAAGCGAAGCTTTGTACCCTACTGGCTATCATAAAAATGGTTCCATCCAAAGCGAAACTTTGTAGCTACCTGATGAGTCTCTTCATCCTAATGTTGTTGTTCTCATCCAAAGCAGCGTTTGCCCGAGTTTCCCACTTTTCAGAAACCAGTTAGTCTCTTTCCCAAATAAACATATATATATATATATATATATATATATATATATATATCTTCTATGTATGTGTGTTATGTTCGTGTTCAACGAAACTTAGAGTTTTCATCAAAAAGGTGTATTCGCATATATCTTTGATTACAATTATTGAACTACAATGCCATGTGGGGCCTCTCAAGGGATCCTCATTTTCTGGAAACAATAGAAATCTCTCTCTACGAGGGTCATGATTATTAATCAAGTTTTTTTATTGTCATTGCAGAACAGAACAAAGGTAGAGAGCTTCTGAAAATGAATAATATTCACCTGGCAAAGAAAATAAGAGCAAATGACCCAATTGGCTCGGGTCCATCGATTGGTCCATCGATTCCGTGAACGGGATAAATTAAACATCTACTGGTCCGGACTGAGCTAGCGGTAATAAAGCCGATGGGCGGTGGTCAGCTGACCCTTCTCATATTTGGCATATATAATATTTGTTTGTATGTTTGAATTTTATATGACTGTAAGGATTTATATAAAGGATGATGGATTCACTGCACATCATTGCCAGTGAATTGTAACAGAGCTACGATTTACAAATAATTATTATTTACCAGTCACAAAATGTTGGATTGTAGGTTGAAGGGAGTTTACGACAATAAGAACAATAATTGAAACAAAATGATCTAATTAGACTGGAGAAAAATAATACATGACTTTGAGTACATCTATAGGCTATTGGCCTTCTAGTTGTATAGATCTTCGTCTTGGCTAGTTGGTGCGTTGATTTAGGACTAGGCTATTGACCCTTCACTCATATAGCTGCTACTACACATCTCAGCTCCTTGAAAAAGGCTATTGGGCACCTTAGTTGATTTAGGTTGGTGAGCTCTTGGCTCGACACCCTTGATTGTTGTAGCTATTGCCTACTTGAAGCTTCTTGCTTAGTCCATCTCCAATGCAAATGGGACTAACTTGAAATTTTTCACCTCCAAAAACATATTTGCCCGGACTCAAATATTTTTTTTCATCGAAGTCATTGAAGGTGAACTCTAACTGGTAGAGCAGAGGATATTAAAATGCAAAGAGTGTGTTGGGTTAAAAAAAATAAGATTCTTGGGATCAAATAAAATGACCCTTAATTTTGTCTAGACCACATTTTTTTTTTCTGATCGTATGTATATGCATGCGTGTACTTCCTCTGGTACTTGCTCAGGAAGTGGCTAAACTGCTCCCAAAAAATCGGCTTCTCCCTAATTTATGTTGTTGTGTTTTGGGTTTAGCTGGACCTGGTTTAGAAAACTTGGATTGGGAGTTTCGAGATGACTTAGAGATTGAGGGGATTAAGAGTCTGAATCATTTTAGAAATTGGTTGCTTTGATGATTACTTAGAGCATATGATCGAAACCATTGGTTGCTTGCATGATTTTTCCATACCCTTTGTTGGGTAGCTCTTCCACTGTGGCCTATGTCAACTCACCCTTAGTACCGAAATGGGTGCTTCACAAGAAAAAAATTACTTCGCAATATAAAAATATTTTTTAAACTCTTAAATTATGTATGGAAATAGTAGTATGAAATAAAAGGTATTTCTAATTTGATACGATCTATTAGGAGGCGTTCAGCATCACATCGTTTCTATTTTCACCCCAAAATTTCTTAAAATCTGCTTCATGGAGCTTGGCAAGGAAATTTTGATGCATGGGTACATTATCTTTTACATTGGTCAACCAGCTGTTGAAGCTTTTATTGCTGGCATGTGCTATTGGCCAGTGAATATAGCTTGTTTTGGTGTTTATCAGTGGTGATGCATACAGTAGGAACTGAACCTAGGCCTGCACTACTTAACCCTAAAGTTAACTGTCTTAATTTTGAATAAAAATTTAAAAACTTAAATTAAAGAAAAAACACAGATCCAAAAGCCAATCTAACCTAAGTGCCGACATACTCCAATTGCTCTTTTTTTTTTGGCCAAAGTTATAAAAGAGAGAGAGAAACTTGAACCCAGGACTTGGGAACACAATAATGGTATGGCCAATCTAACTAACACCTCATTGGTCGCACTCCAATTATGTAGTCTAACCATGTTAATTTTTTACTATCTTTTCTTTTAAAGTTTTTAATTTTATTTTTCTAATTTAATCTCAAATAAGAAAATGAAGTGGAGTTCAGCTGTAAAAGCTTAAGTGTTCATGGATATGATATTTCTGCAGGTATTTGTCAGTTTAGGTGCCTTGGTGTGCAAGACTTTGTTTTGGCAAGAAATGTTCAATTGATTTATGCTGTCTTGCAGATCCATTAAGTCAATTTTCAGAAGATCGTTTCTTCAATTCCCTTGGGGGGGTATATGAAGGACATTGGTGCTGCCTTAGAATTGTTTAAGGCTTCAGAAATCATCATACATCCAGATGAATCGGTTCTTGAGAAACAAAATAACTGGATGAGTCATTTCCTGAAACAGGAGTTATCCAATATTTTAACTCAGGCTCGTAGACTCAATAAGCATATTGGCCTGGAGGTAATTTTGTGATAAGTCTCTGTTGTTGATCTGGTGATGTAGCTTTTTATAATCACAAGGTAATTCCATCAAATTTAACCTTTTGATTATTTGAAGGTGGATGATGCTCTTAAGTTTCCTTTCTACGCAAGTTTGGGCCGGTTATCAAGCAGGAGAGCAATAAAATCTTACAACACAGAGAGGACAAGAATTTTAAAATCATCTTATAGGTAAACCTCTAGTATTTCCTCCTGTCTCTCTCTTCTTCTCCCTCTATTTTAAGAAGAATTTGATTTCTGCCAAATTATTATGAGGGATCAAGGCAGATTACTTATTTATCCTTGTGCTCTCATGCTAGTTGTTTGAATATTGGAAATGAAGATTTTCTAAAACTGGCAGTGGAAGACTTCAACATTTGCCAGTCTATACACCATAAAGAGCTCAACCATCTTGCAAGGTAGATATATGTGTGTATTACATAAATATCCTATTATATTATATATGGATGTGCTTAGTCTTTGTTAGTGTAGCTACGTGTAGTCATTGCTATTATGGATATGCTTAGTCATTATTAGTGTAGTATGTGTCAAAGAAAAACAAATGCTTAGTAAGCATAGCTATATACTAGTTCTGTCAATTCACCAAGAAAGGTTGTATAGGATTGGAGGAATTGGGAACTACCTTATCTGCAAAACTAGACCACCACATGAATATAACTTGGATGGTAAGTAAATGTAAACCGCCAAACACCATCCAATAGGAAGGAAGTCACTGCCGACATATTGCCTATATATATAGGACATTATGTGCATAGCAATTGAACATAGAGAGATATATATATATATATATATATGATGAAATTCTTGGAGGAGGTATAGGACTTAGCTATGTTTTCTTAAATTGAAGCAATGCTTTGGAATCGAGGTAGGGGTTTCTTGGTGACTTTTACAAAGATTGATCTAATTAAATTTCGTGAGCAATATATTATGCATGATATTATTATTTGATTATTACTGATATTGGGTGTTTAAGTGTTGTTAATTATCATTATATTTTATTAATATTGACATAATCATATGTTATCGGTGATGGTTGGAATTCTTGGATTAATAAAGAAATTATTGAAAAGAGGGTAATGGGAAGGTTCTTTTGTGTAGTTGAGTCTGACCATTGTAGGGACCAAGTTCAGGCGAGCCCGTGTGCACAGTAGACTAGGAAATCGGCGGTATAATTGTTGATTGGGTGATTTGGGCTTGAAGATCAATGGTGTAGACAAGATGACTAGCAAAAGGGGAATTATGGGATAACTGAGATGGGTGTTAGTTTATATAATGGGGCATTCGGAATCACAGTGGTAAAATGCATGGTATGGGACATGCAGATTTGCTTGCCCTATTCTATAAATTAACGAGTTGGGTAGAATTGAAGAGCATTCATGTGTTATTATTAGTATTATTTGGTTATGTGATTGCATGTCACTTAATTTAGTTATATCAATCTACTGTGGTAAGGTCTCATGTCCCTACTGAGCTGTGGTTGCTCACCCCTCATCCTGTTTAATTTTTCAGATGAATTAGTGGGCAAGAAAAAGACTAAACCAGTTGAGGCTGAATTAGATGAGAGTGATAGAGCTTTATTTATTTCCTGTAAAGTTGTAATTTTGAGCTATTTTTATAAGAGAATTTTAAACTATGTTTCGACATCTTTTTGTTTTAGTTTTTATTTTCTCACGCACCGGGCGCGGGGTTTCCACCAACCCCCGGGTCCGGGGCGTGACATGTTCCCTCCTGAACTATCAGATGCCCGCATGTCATGGGCCAAAAGTGGAGTGCTTACAACTGTGGTTGATGATTTCACTGACGTTGGAGGTTCTGAAGAGGAGCTGGTAAACCTTATACAATTGATCGAGAAGTACGTTTCCTGTTCCCATTCCCTTCCTATTTCCATTGGATAAATTTGTTGGTCAGCAATTTATGCTTGTGCTCCTTATTTTGTTTTTCTAGCATTGAGGGCCTAAACTTCCTTGTGTCTGAACCTCAGGTGGGATGTGAATGTGAATGTTGATTGTTGTTCCGAGCATGTTGAAATTATATTTTCAGCACTTAAGAACACAATTAATGAGCTTGGAGTCAAGGCATTCACACGACAAGGACGCAGTGTGACAAGTGACATAATTGAGACTGTAAGTTAAAATCTTTTAATTTTCCTTTCTAAAAGCACTATGTCTTCCTCACCAGCTTCTTTTATCAAGTTCAACTTGTTTTTATTCATGGAACTAGGGATGAATTGAGCTATGTTTGATTTTCAGTGGTTGGATTTGCTCAAGTCTGGGCTGAAGGAAGCTGAGTGGTTGAGAAACAAGTCAGTGCCAACAATGGAGGAGTATATGACAAATGGATATATATCAATTGGCATTGGACCAATTGTCCTTCCAGCTCTCTATTTTGTTGGGCATGAGCTTTCAGAGGAGGTTGTAGGAAGTGTTATAAAAAATAATAGTTTTCCTCTTTCCATAAAGCCAAATACAAAATATTTATATTATAAATAACATATAAACAAATTGAAAAGCTTTGAAGGTATAATGAAATTGAAGAAAACAAAATAATAGGGAAATAAAAGGAAAATAAATAATAGGTAAGAAGGTGAGTTTGGTACGGTGAAGCACGTCAAAGACGTTGTCCTAAAACCTTTGTAGCCTCCCTACGTGCAGGTACTGATAGTCTACAAGACTCCAAGGTACTGATAGTCTACAAGACCCCTTGTATACAAACTCAAGATCCGCTATGAGCACGTTCATAGACAGATATAAGTATCCAAGTCACATAACCATTGCCCAAAATAATAATAATAATATAAAGTAGAGAATATATGTAAAAGTAGAAAAAAGAAGAATTAGAATGTGTATGTGATATTCTGATAGTGTATTGTGGTTATTTCAAATGTGAAGGAGGAGTAGCCTTTTATAGGCATCCAAAAACATGTAACCTTCACCAACCATAAAAGTTCACCAACCAAAAAATTAAGGCATTCACCAACCAAAAATAAAACCTGAATATTAAATATTTATAACCCCCACAATAAATAAAATAAAATAGCCAAAATAATTAAATAAATAAAACGGTTAAATTTTTTAAACCTTTTAAAATTCCAACAATCCCCCACAAGGTTTTCAAAATTTTACCGTGAAAAAAAAAACAGTGAAAATATATATAATATATATGGGCAATATAATACTATGTAATAGGTGTAGGTGCCTTCCGGGCTTGAACCTTCACTTAGTGATGATAGTCTCCATTTGAGGAACTTGAGTGTACACAGTATTGAACTCGGCACCTTTGACCAAACTTCAACATATCCCCCACATTGTATTAGTTGAGACTTGGATGCGGGGTAGCGCTATTTATGGCCATGCGCTAATCTTGATTGTCATGAGAGTTACTAGAGAATAGCCCAATTCTCACAGTCGCGGCCTCACAACGTCTCTCACTTAGGTGAGTTCTCCAAGAGTACATGTGACCTGCACCCTGCGGGAGTTTGCCCGCCTCGAAACTCATTCAGGGATAAATCCCTTCCTAACGTCACATAAAATAACACTTTTGCCTTAGGGATGAGCAGAAGAATATCTCAAGGATATCTCCATAGTTTTATGAGTGCTATATGAGTCACACAGTATGGATTGTTTCTACCACATTGAACTTCCTTCATGGGATCTCCAATCACAGAAGTTGGGTTACCTCCCTAGGTGACTCCCTTATGGGCTTAAGCACATCCCCCTCGACATTTTGCATTAATAGCCTTCTCCACGAGGCATGCATATCAAAACTAGCCTTCGCAAGGCATATATAATGTAGGTCATGTCTTTGTTCTCCATTTTAGCGCGCTTTAAACCTGCATGTTATTAAAATATTTCCTACACAATCTTGCACACAAATAATTAGTGGATTTCACCTCAGTTTAATTGGAAATTAAATACGCATTGGTATACAGTTAAGTATAACGGCAATACATCATACATGAAATCTTCTAATCAAGAGTACACCTGCTACCACTTATGAACAACAATATAACAATTAATTCATTAAATAAATTTAACTATAAACAATGAGCATTTCAGGATACCCTTACTCCCTTTTGTGCACTCCAAATGGCTGAAATCATGATCACATATCCAAGTTGAAATTGTATCTGTTTAGCTAATGATTAGAATTAGTGTGACACGTGTCTGTAATTAGTTATGTTAAACACGTGAAGGTTGTTAGAGGTTGTTAGCTCAGATGCTTAACCATTAAGCAAAGCCTAAGTATGAAGGCTCTACTGTACGTGTATAGTGGTAATAAGAAAAATAGATTTGATTCCTACCATTTTCAGAATTCTCAAAGCTCTCTCTCTCCTCTCTCTCTTCTATTTCCCTAAATACTTAGCATGGTATCAGAGCCAATGCCGACAGATTATCGCAATACAGAATAGGAGGTTCAGACAAATATACATGGAGATCAACAAGAAGCTGCCGAATCCAGACAACATATGCTGAGGCATTAGCAAGAGCCCTATACTCGGCTTCAGTGGAACTGCGTGAAACAAAACCTTGCTTCTTTGATTGCCATGAGACCGGGTTAGACCCCAAGTACACCACAAAGCCCGTAGTGGATCTGCGAGTGTTAATATCACCCGCCCAGTCAGAATCACTATAATTAGACAAGAGGAAGGGACATGAAGCAGAATAAGTAAAACCATGACTGAGTGTGCCTTGTAGATAACGCAGAATGCGTTTCACTAAGAAGAAATGATGCTCGGTAGGATTATTCATGTATTGACAGACAGTATTAACAGAATGGGCAATGTCAGGCCTTGTAAAGGTAAGATACTGTAATGCACCCACAATGCTACGATACTGTTTTGGATCCTTCAAAGGAATACCATCAGTGAGTAAAATCTGTGTGTGAGGTTTCAGAGGTGTAGGACATGGTTTACAAGAACTCATCCCAGACTTTGCTAACAAATCAGTAGCATATTTTTGTTGACTAGGTATGGGCACCCTTACTTATTTCCTTGGTCTTTAGATTTCCTATAAGTCTAATGGAGACATCTTTGTTAGTCCTCACGAGCGCGTAGGATTTTGCGGATCTTAATTTGGATGTCGTTTGAACCGGGAGCGGATCTCGCTTATTCTGCGATTTCCGGGTTCAATACGTTTGAACCGTTGGATCGTAGTTTATTCCAAGTATGTTAATCTAGACTTTCCCAGGATCGTATAGTATTTGACAAATCGTAAAACGGAGTCATGGATACTCCAGAATGGTCAGCTCTAGAGCAGTTTTACTGTAACAGTTTAGTTACAGGTCAGGAACAACAGAAAGAACTACGTGTGGCTTGATCCCTCAGTAAGGGTACGTAGGCAGCCTACAGTTATCAGGCGCAGCCACGAGTTAGGGCCATAGGGTTTGTGTTATTATTTTTGCAGGGCATTTTGGTCATTTATGACCCACAGCCACTAAGTGTCAGTTTTAAACAGGATTTGACCCGGATTCCAAAGTGGAATTTTGTTAATGTATGGTTTTTACTATTTTCTTTTGGCTTCCCTTGACAACTTTGTAATAGGTTGTGTAATATAATTTATCAAGCTCAAGTCTAGATTAGGGAAAACTTTTATTGGTGCTCTTCTCTAATCTCTGCTCTATGGTGGCTCAAGCAAGTTGACAAAGGTATTGAGCATTGCATATCATTTCATAAAACAGTCTTCATAAAAAGATGACTAGTCAACCGTTTCTCACATGACTAGTCATCCTTGCCTCCAGCTGGATAACAAACTGTTTTGTCCTATTCTTCTTTCTCTCTCTCTGCTGCCAAGTGGGTTTTCTGACCTAACGATTTGTTGGTCTGTATAGCCCACGATATTTCTCATTTGGCAGTTGTCTCTTTCGGGTGAAAGTTTTGGAAAGTTTGGCTTGCCATCTTTCGCTTCTTCTTCCACGAGAGAACCATTATTTCATCTATGAGTTTTTCCAATTGATTTCTTTTTGAAAAACTGCATTTGAAACACAAATCTGCATCTAGCTATTTAAATCATTCTATCATTTATATCTAGGTCGGATTCAAGATTGATTTCTTCAAGAGTATGGTTTCTTGAAGAAATTGGTCTTTCTCCTTTGAATCCAAATTGGTTTCGGTTTGTGTTGGAGCTTGCAAGCTAGTGCCATGGGATGAACGAGCTGGAGAAGGAGCTGCCATTGCCATGAAGGACTGAGCTTCAAGCTTTGCTAAGTTGGAGAAGAAGATTGCACAAAGGAGGTATTGCTCATTTTCCTAAATAGACCTAGGTGCTTCTTGAGCTTGGTTATGTTTCCTTTGTAAGAATCTTTTTCTACTTAGTGGAATGCTTGGTCGGTTGATGACTCCCAGTTTTTCCCAATGGTGGGTTTCTGGGTGAACAAAATCTGTTTTGCATATCTGTAATTTTTCTGGGTTTGTGTTCTTGGTGGTTGACTAGTCATCTGTATCTGCTGTTTGATGATTACATGATAATGATGATTTCACACACTTTCACCATAGTTGTTGCTAGCACAGGGGATGCCTAGATTGACGGGTCCTTCTGAGTGCCTAGGTTGTCACTAGTAATCTTCTAGGATTGCAGGTACATTGTGGCATGCTCTGTGCATTCTATTGGTTGCGATTGTTTCTTGACTAGTAGTTGACTAGTCATATGTGTATTTGGTCTAGGTTTAAAGTGTGTGAAGCTTGCTGTGTTGTTGTGTCTTGTTTGTGTGATTAAGTTTACCCCTCGTCACCTAAGTACCATTTTCAATTGGTATCAGAGCGTCAGCTCTTAACAAAAATAGAGAGATCCTAGGATTTGTTTTGGTGTTTAGGTGTGCTCACTATGGAAAGGGATCGAGTTGCTGGATCTTGCAACTCCCCTTCCTATTTTGACGGCAATAACTATGCTGCATGGAGAGAAAAATTTGAGATATTCCTTGATGCTCTTGATGAGTATGCAAGTGGGTATCTCACAAAAGAGTGGGTTGCTCCAGTCAAGACTGTTGAGGGTGAGCTTGTGTCCAAGCCTAGGTCAGAATGGACTGAAGCTGAGGTGTTTGCTGCATATTCGAACAAGAAGGCCAGAAATGCCTTAGTTACAGCTTTGTCTAGCACACAATTTGCACATATACAACACATCCCTAATGCTAAACAAGCTTGGGATAAACTAAGGGTAGTTCATGAAGGGGATGACCAAGTTAGAACCCTAAAACTTCAGATGGTGCTTGCACAATTTGAAGAACTTAGGATGTCTGAATCTGAGTCTATTTCTGAGTTCTATGGAAGAGTTGAGATGATCACAAATGAAGCCATGAGTCTAGGTCAACCCATTGAAGAGCTTCTTGTTGTTCAGAAAATTCTTCGTGTTCTACCATCTAGGTTTAGAGCAAAGAAAACCGCAATCATGGAGGTCCAAAATTTAAATGAAATTAAGCTTGGCAAGCTTGTAGGAAAATTGAAAACCTATGAGATGGAATTGAATATGGAAGAAAATGACTCCAAAAAATCAAAAAATGTTGCACTTCAAGGAGTGCATGTTTCCTCTCCGAAAGGTGGTGATAAATCCTCAGGTTTTGAGGATGAGATGGCCTTGTTTGTCAAAAAATTTAGGAGAATTCTTAAGGATAAGGGAAAGTTTGCTAGAGAGGGCAGCTCTGGTAGTGAGAAAAATTTTAGACCATCAACTGATCGGTTTAATGAGAGGAATAAGGATGTCAAACCTTTCACGAAAGATTTTAGAAAATCTGTCAAGTGCTTCACATGTGGAGGCATTGGACACTATGCTGCTGACTGTGCAAACAATCAGAAAAAGTACTCCAAAGGAAAGGACAAGGCCATGAAAGTGAAGGCTCTCAAGATGATTCATCTTCCTCTGATGATGATGACCAACATGTTGCCTTTGTTGCCTCTGTACAGCCCATGTCTGATGAATCTGATTCTGAGTCAGATGACCTGTCATACGAGTCATTAGGAAGAAAATATGATTGTTTGTTTAAAGAGACCTTGTCCTTGAAAGAAGAGAGCCTCAAACTTGAGGCAAATAAACAAGATCTTCAACATGAAATTCTCATCTTAAAAGAAACCAAAAAGGAGTTGAGTGACAAATTTGAGTCTCTAGAAAAAGAAATTGATGCTCTTGTGTCAATTAGGAGTAACCTCGAGAACCAAGTTAATGTGCTCAAGGAAAGTAACATTGGTTTCCAGAACTCAAACAAACAGCTCCTAGGTGAATTGAATGAAGCAAATAGGAAGATTATATCTATGACCATTGGTGCATCAAAAATTGACAAAATGTTGAATATGGGAAAACTTCATGGGGACAAAGGTGGTCTTGGATTTAATCACTTTGGTTCTAGTTTGTCTAGTTCTACCACTAAGTTTGTCAAATCAGAAAATCCAGTCACGATTCCTCTTGATGTTCAGCAGGTTGTCAAGAAACCTAAGTTTGTTCCAACTTGTCACAGGTGTGGGTTGACTGGTCATATTCGACCAGTCTGTCATATGTATAGCAAAGATAAGACCAGAAAATTGTCTCAAAAATCTAAAAGGAATCCCAGATCTTTGCAAGATCAAGTTGATCATTTGCTGAATGAGGTCACTAAGATAGCCAAACTTGTCTCCCTCAAAATGAGTTCTCCTATTGTGCCTAAGTCTACTTGGATTGCAAGAGGTCATACCAAATCTCTTGTTGTGCTAAATGCTTTTGCTGCTTCAAATATCAACTCTTGGTATTTTGATAGTGGTTGTTCCAAACATATGTCTGGAGATAAAAATGTTTTCTCATCTCTCAGCCCCTTTGATGGAGGCACTGTGACTTTTGGTGGAGGTCATAGATCTCAAGTTGTTGGAAAAGGTACTGTTTGTATCCCTGGTCTGCCCGAGCTTAAGAATGTTAGATTTGTTGAGGGTCTCACATCCAATCTCATTAGTGTGAGTCAGCTGTGTGATGATGGAATAGTAGAAGTCAGATTCTCCAAGCATGGCTGCAAAATCATTGGAAAAGGTGGAAATGAGATTGTGAGCGTGGCAAGGTCTAGGGACAATTGCTTCTGCATTGATGGTGTCAACGATGCAAAAGAAATTGTTTGCAACAAGGTTGTAAATGAAACAAGTATTTTGTGGCATCAAAGGCTTGGACATGTTAATTTTAGAGACTTGCATAAATTGTCCAAGAGAGAGCTAGTAAGTGGCTTACCAAAGCTGGAAAAATCTGATGAGCATGTTTGTGAAGGATGTCAATTAGGCAAACAAGTCAGAGTGTCACACAAAAAGGTCAAACACATTCAAACAAATGTAATTCTAGAACTTGTTCACATGGACCTTGTTGGTCCTATTCAAACCGTGTCCCTTGGTGGAAAGAAATATATTCTTGTCATGGTGGATGATTTCTCTAGGTTTACTTGGGTCTCATTTCTACGTGAGAAATCTGAAACTTTTCAAAGGTTTAAGTCTGTTTGTCATCTTTTGCAAAAAGAGAAGATGACCAGTCATCTGCCTCTTGTTAGAATTAGAACAGACCATGGCTCTGAATTCGAGAATTCTCAGTTTCTGAAATTTTGCGAAGAGATGGGAATTAAACATGAGTTCTCTGCACCTATTACACCTCAGCAAAATGGTGTTGTAGAGAGAAAGAATAGAGTGCTTGTAGAGATGGCAAGGGTGATGCTAAATAGCAAAAATCTTGCTAAACACTTTTGGGCTGAAGCTGTCAATACAGCTTGTTACATCTCAAACAGGGTATTTGTGAGGTCTGGTACCAAACAAACTCCCTATGAGATTTGGAAAGGAAAGAAGCCTAATGTGTCATATTTTAAGGTCTTTGGTAGCACATGCTATATTTTGAGAGATAGGGAGCATCTTGCTAAGTTTGATTCTAAGTGTGATAAGGGAATCTTTCTAGGGTATTCCACTTCTAGCCGAGCCTATAGAGTGTACAATTGTAGGTCCAGAACCATCATTGAATCCATAAATGTCACTATTGATGATTTTGCTGCCTCTATAGAGATGGCATTAGATGAGGATGGTCTTTTTCCTCCTCCTCCACTTGAGCAAGAATCTCCAGGTCTGGATCTTGTGGTTGACCTGTCAACTTTTGAAAATTCTGTCCCGGTTGACCTGTCAACCCCTTCAACTTCTAGTTCCATCTCCTCTGTCCAGGCTGACAGCTCTCATACTGATCATAGTTCTCTCACTCCATCTGCGAGTGTCATTATTGGCCCTCTTAATCAAGGAGTGAGAACTAGGAAACAACTTGCTCAAGAAATTAGCCATGTGTGTTATGTTTCCAAGGAAGAGCCTAGAAATGTGAAAGAAGCCTTGCACCATGGTGAATGGTTTCTTGCAATGCAGGAAGAATTAAATCAATTTGTGAGAAATGATGTTTGGTACCTTGTTCCAAGACCAGTCCACACAAATGTCATAGGCACTAAGTGGATTTTCAAGAATAAAACCGATGAACAAGGTAATGTGGTGAGAAATAAGGCTAGATTGGTTGCTCAAGGATACACTCAAATGGAAGGCATTGACTTTGATGAAACTTTTGCCCCTGTTGCACGATTAGAATCAGTTAGATTGCTTCTTGCCATTGCTTGTCATTTGAAATTTAAACTTTATCAAATGGATGTCAAAACTGTCTTCTTGAATGGTGTCCTAAATGAAGAGGTCTATGTTGAGCAGCCAAAGGGTTTTGAAGATCCACATCATCCAAATGATGTGTTTCGGTTAAAAAAGGCCATCTATGGTTTGAAACAAGCTCCTAGAGCATGGTATGAGAGGTTATCCTCTCATCTTCTAGGAAATGGGTATGTTCGAGGGTCCGTTGATAAAACATTGTTTGTGAAAAGGTTTAAAAAGGATGTCTTGATTGCTCAAGTGTATGTTGATGATATTGTGGTTGGTTCTACCTCTGATTTGCATGTTCAAGATTTTATTCATGTCATGACTAGTGAATTTGAAATGAGTCTTGTCGGTGAGCTTAATTATTTCTTAGGTCTCCAAATTAAACAGAGCCATGATGGGATCTTTGTATCCCAATCTAAATATGCAAAAAATCTTGTGACAAAATTTGGGTTGGAAGGAGCCAAATCTGCAAGAACTCCAATGAGCACTAGTGCTAAGATTCATAGAGACTTGCATGGCAAAAGTGTGGATCAAACTCTCTATAGAAGCATGATAGGAAGTCTTCTCTACTTGACTGCTAGTAGACCTGACATTTCTTTTAGTGTTGGTGTATGTGCTCGGTTTCAAAGTGACCCAAAAGAGTCTCACTTGTTTGCTGTTAAGAGAATTATAAAATATGTGAGTGGGACTAGTGAGTTTGGGTTGTGGTATACCTATGACACTTGTGTCAATCTTGTTGGGTATAGTGATGCCGATTGGGCAGGTTGTAGTGATGATAGGAAAAGCATTTCCGGGGGGGTTTTCTATGTAGGCAACAATCTTGTTGCTTGGCATAGCAAAAAACAGAATTCTGTCTCCTTATCCACTGCTGAAGCAGAGTATGTTGCCGCTGGGAGTTGTTGTACTCAACTCCTTTGGATGCGACAAATGTTGGAAGACTATGGTCTTGCTCAATCATGTTTTCTAATCTATTGTGACAACATGAGTGCCATAGATATTTCAAAAAATCCTGTTCAACACTCTAGGACTAAGCATATCGACATTCGGCACCATTTTATTAGAGATCTTGTGGAAGACAAAATTTTATCTTTGGAATTTGTTCCCTCTGAAAAACAGCTAGCAGATATACTCACCAAGGCCTTGGACTTTCAGAAACATGGTACACTGAGGCAATCCATTGGCCTTTGTTCCATTGATTGATTAGCTAGTCTGCTCCTTGTCTTCAGCACACTTCCAAACAGTTGACTAGTCATCTTGCTTGTCAGTTGCCTAGTCCAATATGTCACTGTTCATATCACTCATCTCTGCTGGTGTGCATGCTGAATGTTTTTTGTGCTTTGTTTGACTTGTGCATAATCTTTTTTTTTCTTGTTTTTGAGCTGTTAGTTGAGACCAAAATCTTGCTATCTTGTCCTCTTGGTGAGCCATGTATCTCGGCTTCATTTTGGACTGTTCTTGTTATTCTCTCTTAGCTGGTCTCACTCTCTTAGCCAATCTATTTCAAATTTAAAACAAAAAAAAAAAAGAAGTGTGACCAATGTAGTCACGGCTCTAGGAAGGTATAAGGTGTTTTGATTGAAGAATCTAGAGCAAAGAGCCGTAAAATTGGGCCATTCAAAGCACTTATGTTCGGGATGTGCAAGTACCACAAAATCAATCATCAAATATTTTGTCCATAGAGAGTGCTGATTTTTTGCTGTGAGCCCATACTATGATCATGTCTTAAGAATGCAGTGTGTACGTGTCTCTCCAAGAGAGATTAGATATCATCTCTTGTGTCCCTTGGCTCTAAACCTCCTTCTTTCCTAAATATGCCTTGTCTCTGAGCATGAATTGCATCTCATTGCGTGTCTCTCAGAGTTGATTGTCTATGTACACTGCATATGTTTTTAAACTATTCCTCTTTTTCATCTCTTTTTCTTCATGTGTTGAAGACTTGGTTTAGATTATTGTGCTAATGCCTCCTTGGTCACTTGATATATGTGCTGGTTCATGCTTATAATTTAAAAATAATCAAATAAAAAAAAAGAACCAAAATCATGTCTTTCACAGGGTCGATATTATTTGGTGTTTGTCATAATGCTGGTTTAGTTGCCTAGTCATCTATGCTTATGGTTGCCTAGTCATCTGGATGGTTTGCCTTGCTGTTCTTTCTCATATTGCCTTAGTTGACTGGTCATCATATTGTGGTTGACTAGTCATCATATTTGTGATTGACTAGTCATCCGGCTCTGCTTGTGCCAATTTTGCCTGGGTTGACTAGTCATCTTGCTTGTGGTTGACTAGTCATCTGATTTGTTCCCTAACCGATGCGTCTTTTTCATTTTTCGTTTTGGCGGTTATTTTTTCCACTTTTGGTTTTGAGCGGTTCTTTTTTTTAGGTCGTGTCGTTTGCGCCTTTTTCCTTTTTTTTTTTTTTTTTTTTTTTTTCTTCGTCAGTTTCGTTTGCCTCTTATCTCTCTCTCTGTTCTCGTCAGTCTCGACTTCGTCTCCATTTCAGATTTTTCTCTCCCTCTCTCTCTGTTCTGGTCTCTTCGTCCCTTCTTCCATTTGTTTTTCTCTTCCAAATTTCTTCTCGCTGCTGACCATGTCTTCCTCCAAGCCTCTCCACACTTACCACCGTCGCTCCAAATCAAAATCCACTGACAGGGTGGATTTCAATCCGTCAATCCCTAGGGTTCCTCGAACCCGTTCTTCTTCCTCTGTTCCTGTTGGAGATTCCTCTTCTTTTGTGTCCTCTGAGGCTGCCTCCTTCTTTGATAAGGTTGTCTCAAAGAGGAAATTCATTCCTGAGAGGACTTATCAATTTGATGTTGTTCCCTTGGCGGCTCAGGAGTCTGCAAATCAGATTTTGGAGCACTACCACCTTCAAGCCCTAAATTCTCTCTCTGGTAAGTTTAACATCCCTGTTGTTCAAGAGTTTTACTCTAACTTTCCTGCTGACCCTAAGGAGTCAAAATATCAGATTTTGGTTAGGTCAGTACCCATTACTCTGAAACCATCTGTTATCAATCGGGTCTTAGGTTTTCGATCATGCCCTGGTTTTGATTTTGCAAAATTTGCTCTTGCTTCTGCTGAATACTCTGTTGATCTTTTTAAATCCATGGCATACACTGATCAATCTTTGCCTTTGACCTCTAAAGGTCTGCCTATCAAGTCTTACCTGTCCCCTTTTTATAAATTTTTGTGGGATTTTATCCGTCATAATGTTCTCCCCACTGGGAACAATTCTAATCCCACTCTTGCTGCCTGCCAACTCATGATATCCATGGTGAATCATGATAAAATTCCCCTTGGTGATATCCTATATAATTCCATTCTTGGGAAAACCATTGGTCATGGTACCAAGCACAAGGGGACTCTTGTGTTCCCCTGTCTGATTCAGCGCCTTTGTGAGAAAAATGGGGTGGCATTTCTTGATTCTGATCAGTGGCATCCCCCCATTGCTCCTTATGGCAAGGCCTCTGCTGCCCTTAGCCAGAGAGTTTCCAGGACCTTTCTCACTTCTGTGTCGTCTTCCTCTGAGAATGCCTTTCTCAGAGCTCAGCTGGCTGCCAAGGAGGAGTATATTCAACATCTTTTGAGCCTCATTCCATCCACTTCGATTCCGGCACCTCCTGCTGCTGCTGCTGCTGCAGATCCTCAGCCTGCTCCTGCCACTGATGAGGACTCGGATGACTCTGTGGATTCTGGTGGCTCTTTGATCTTTTAGCTTGGTGTTGCTCTTGGCTGTGTCCTAGATAGGAAGATTACGTCTAGATAGGTTGTGCATTTTGAAAAAGGGAGGTGTTTTGTAATCTCATTGTGAGTAGTCTGTGCATTTTGCTAGGAGGGATTGTTTTTGTAAACACATTGTGGGTAGTTTAAGCATTGTGATAGGGGGAGTTGTTCTGTCCTATTTTGAACAACTGGTATTTGACTAGTCATAACTCTATGGTCTGTACTGTTTTTAAACTATTGTTGGTTGACTAGTCATCCATCTATGAACATGTTCTGTTATCCTTGTTCCTATATACCTATCACTTTGTGGTTAATCCATTTTATCTGATGTTTCTATCTCTCTGCCTTTTTGCACTTTCCTTATCAACAAGGGGGAGAGCACTCTCAACCCCACATTGCATATTGTTTTTAAATTTCTGTGATAATATGCTTGTTTTTGTGCTGGGAAGATTGGTTGTTCTTGCAGGTACCTTCACTACATCATCTCCTTAGTCTCGGTTTTGGGTTGAGTGTTCTTAGAGAGTGTGTTGTCAAGGAAAGCCAAAAAGGGGGAGATTGTTAATGTATGGTTTTTACTATTTTCTTTTGGCTTCCCTTGACAACTTTGTAATAGGTTGTGTAATGTAATTTATCAAGCTCAAGTCTAGATTAGGGAAAACTTTTATTGGTGCTCTTCTCTAATCTCTGCTCTATGGTGGCTCAAGCAAGTTGACAAAGGTATTGAGCATTGCATATCATTTCATAAAACAGTCTTCATAAAAAGATGACTAGTCAACCGTTTCTCACATGACTAGTCATCCTTGCCTCCAGCTGGATAACAAACTGTTTTGTCCTATTCTTCTTTCTCTCTCTCTGCTGCCAAGTGGGTTTTCTGACCTAACGATTTTGTTGGTCTGTATAGCCCACGATATTTCTCATTTGGCAGTTGTCTCTTTTCGGGTGAAAGTTTTGGAAAGTTTGGCTTGCCATCTTTCGCTTCTTCTTCCACGAGAGAACCATTATTTCATCTATGAGTTTTTCCAATTGATTTCTTTTTGAAAAACTGCATTTGAAACACAAATCTGCATCTAGCTATTTAAATCATTCTATCATTTATATCTAGGTCGGATTCAAGATTGATTTCTTCAAGAGTATGGTTTTTTGAAGAAATTGGTCTTTCTCCTTTGAATCCAAATTGGTTTCGGTTTGTGTTGGAGCTTGCAAGCTAGTGCCATGGGATGAACGAGCTGGAGAAGGAGCTGCCATTGCCATGAAGGACTGAGCTTCAAGCTTTGCTAAGTTGGAGAAGAAGATTGCACAAAGGAGGTATTGCTCATTTTCCTAAATAGACCTAGGTGCTTCTTGAGCTTGGTTATGTTTCCTTTGTAAGAATCTTTTTCTACTTAGTGGAATGTCTGGTCGGTTGATGACTCCCAGTTTTTCCCAATGGTGGGTTTCTGGGTGAACAAAATCTGTTTTGCATATCTGTAATTTTTCTGAGTTTGTGTTCTTGGTGGTTGACTAGTCATCTGTATCTGCTGTTTGATGATTACATGATAATGATGATTTCACACACTTTCACCATAGTTGTTGCTAGCACAGGGGATGCCTAGATTGACGGGTCCTTCTGAGTGTCTAGGTTGTCACTAATAATCTTCTAGGATTGCAGGTACATTGTGGCATGCTCTGTGCATTCTATTGGTTGCGATTGTTTCTTGACTAGTAGTTGACTAGTCATATGTGTATTTGGTCTAGGTTTAAAGTGTGTGAAGCTTGCTGTGTTGTTGTGTCTTGTTTGTGTGATTAAGTTTACCCCTCGTCACCTAAGTACCATTTTCAAATTTGGCTCAGGTTGTTTCATATATACTTGCTTTGAAATTTCAATTAAAAGAAAAAATAGACCAAAGATTTTGAAAACCTTCAATGTTTCGGTTTTTAAACACTTCAACCGGTCAACATTGGATGTTTCACCATAAACTGATTAATGAGTAATAATTAAGTAATCGGTAATGAAACAATACAAGCTATTTAAAACAAACAGTAACTTAACAAAACGTAGCTCACTTCAATATATATATATATATATATATATGTAGCAATTAAAGATTTAAATCTCTAAGCTATAATAATAATACCACATAAATTAGTCTGTAGGTTTTTATTTTCAAACACTAGCAGTAATTTCCCAAACGTTAGCAACAAATTATAAACATATAAATGTACCAACAATATTTAAAGCAATTGAAATTTAATAGACAACATGAAAGCTTTAAACTGCATCTAACCAAAATAAATCGTAATTTTCAATTTGAAAATCCAATACAAATGCAAAAGCTTTAGTCAAAGAGTTAAAAGATATTAAAGCAATAGCAGTACATGAAGAAAACAAATGTAACGTACAAAGGTTTATTCGAAATACAGGTAAGATAATACTTGTTTACTACAGTTTGAACCAAGTGGCACGTGGTAATCTTATCAATCAAGTATTCAATTGAGACTTC